GTCCTGGCCAGGATTTCTATATTGCCTAAAATATCTAGGTTTTCACTTTGTTTGCGTGCGTACATCGGTGTATGACATCAAAATACCATACAGATGGTTCCTTATGCTTTCAAAATGCTCTCGAGGTACTTTGATGTCAAACACTGATCGATCTGAGCCGCGCTGCTTTTAAGTCAAACACACATCCTATGTACGCGTAATTGCATCGCTTTGACCGTAGATCCCACCTTCTCACACACACCATGATTGGTCCATTATGTACAATGCCTGCATGTTAATGGTCAAACTACTTTTCGATCATTACCTTCAGCAAGCATGAAAACAGGAAAACAAGGCCAAAACAAATCCTGGCAAGGATGCGTCCAGGAAAAATGGCACGTATGGTCACCCTAGACCAGGGGTAGGCGAGTTCGGTCCTATAGAGCCGCAGTCCTGCAGAGTTCAGCTCCAACCCTAATCAAACACACCTGAACAAGCTAATCAGTGTCTTCAGGATTACTAAGGCTATAGGCAGGTGAGTTTTGTTTTCAGGGTTGGAGCTGAACTCTGCAGGACTGCGGCTCTCTAGGACCGAACATGCCTACCCCTGACCTAGACCCAACCAACAAGGCCAAAAACACCACTTACATTGAGCTGAAAGTACAATGACGTTCCTCAAAACGGCAAAAAACAGCAGCTTGAAGAAGAGATGAGCTCCTACTCTGCATTCTTTGTCAGACACGTCCTGTAGAGTTTAGTTACAAATAAAAGTGTCAAAAGATAAAAAGTCACACACAGTAACACATTTATTGACAAAAGTACATTATCACTATACAAGGGTATATATCAGCGACTGATACTCTAACACAAGGTGTTCCTCAAGGTGCTTGGTTCATTTCTCATCATTTACATGTACAAGTAGTAGAGTTGATGTAGGGTTTCAAACTCAGACCCATACATCCTGACAAATGAAAATGAAACACACAAGAGTGCAGGTTTGCATTTTACCAAAACCTGGTAAAATATTCCGGTCTAAAATGTAGTGTTAGGTTAACTACAATAGTGTTCAATTTCATAGCATACACATGTGGAGCATATTTTCACTGTGTTATGATTTGATAGAGAATAAAGTTTTGAGAAGATTTATGGCTGACTGTTGTGTCATCCCTGCAAAGAGGCTGTTGTGCAAATATTAGACTGCAGAACATGGTGTCAGATGTATAAAATAATCTGCAGCAAGCTTGTAAGCTGTACAGTTTGGTTTTGAATTAATTTCGTTCTGTCAGCGAGAGGCGTTAACAGCAAACTGCACAAGTATGAATCAATTTCAAGTTTCTCCACCGGAAAAATACATGTTCAAAGCGGATGACTGGCCAATGTGGATAAAACTTTGAGAACTATTTTGGATTGCATCTGGTTTGGAGATACAGCGAGACGAAAATCAAGTGAATGTCCTGATTTACACGATTGGCGAGGAGGCTGAAGACATACCATACGTCCAAAAGCCCAAGAGGTGGCGATGCCTCTAGTGGAGTGTGCTCTTAAGCCCCCTGGAGGCCGCACTCCCTTGGGTTCATATGCCAAAGAGATGGCTTCTACAAGCTCTGTTCTTCACTGACCAAGGTAGGCATCATTAGGCAAAGAGGAAATGCGTAAAGCAGAACATTGTGTCATAGATGGGCCAGTGCATCCCCGCCGAGAGGGGCATCCTCATCCAGAAGTGAGAACATAGGACAATGGGTGTTTTCACACAAGGTGAAGAGATCAACATCTGCCTGGCCGAATCTCTTACATAGCATAGCACTCACTATCTGAGGGTGGAGGCGCCAGTCTCTGTAGAGTGGGTTCCCCCTCGTCAACAGGTCTGCGCCCATGTTCAGAACACCTGGGACATGGGCCGCCTGTAACGACAGAAAGTGCTGCCCACTTCATACTAACAGCCTTAGAGCTAGAGCATGAAGCCTGGATGAGCGCATCCCCCTGGCGGTTGATATGTGCTGCGGCTGTGGTGTTTTCGCAACACACCAGCATGTGATGGAAATGTTTCAGAGCTTTCCAAACAGTGAGGAGCTCCAGATAATTTATATGGGCTGAGGGGAGTGTGCTTGGCCACACACCACTCACTGTTCTGCCCTCCTGTGCGGCTCCCCATCCTGTCAAGTACGCATCTGTTGTTACCACTTTCCGCAACATGATGGCCCACTTGTATAGAAATAAAACCCACTTCATGAATGCCCTCATTCTCAGGAGACACATAATACTGTCCTTCCCTGAATTCCGAGAGGCAATTCATGAAGAAGAGAATGTGCTCTTGCGACAGGCGTGCATGCATTGTGATGGAATTCAGCTCCAGACCCATAAATATCACATTCTGGGCAGGAGAGAAATTGCTTTTGCTCACATTCACTCTGAAGCCGAGCAATGTGATCTGAGCGAGCACATGGGCAGTTTTTTGCATCCCTTTCTCTCTCAGCTATAATCAGCCAATCGTCTATATAGGTGTTTTCACACTTGAGTCCTCTTTAAAAGAACCGGACCCAGACCCCTTAAATGGACCAAGAGGTGGATCAAGTGAAAAAAGACCCAGTTTGCTTTATGTTCACACTATCGCAGTTCCTGAAAGAGGACTCAAATCCTTTTTTGGTCCACTTAAGCAGTAACGGTGTCTCAGACCTCTTTGTGTTCAAACTGTTGCTTTTTGGATCTAGTCCAGTTCAGTCAGTGGCGGAGCCAGAGGGGTGTCCAGTTTATATGCCACTATTTAATTTTCTTAGTTTAATCGTACTGAAAGAAGCATTTATTTTAGTCTCGACTCGACCTCAAGTCTGGTGTTCCACATCGCGCTTTATCTCATCTGGTGTACCTTCCAGCCTCTGCTAGTACACGCTCTCTTGTCACACATTCATTTTCTTACGGCGTGAAAAGCATCACGGAGCAAAGACGACAGAGCAGGTTACCTTTGATAATAGGAAACAAAATCTCAGCGTTCAAATTCTGTTCGTGTTATTAGGAATTTCAAACTATAAATACAGTTTTGGAGCTCTTTAGTGGCGGGACGGTTCATGCACGCTCCCGCTTTGCCTCAGTTCAAGCGAAGCAGGAGTGCATTCTAATTAGCATTCAAATAAATGAACATCCGAGGGCATGCTGAAAGATACACTGCAACTTACTGAATTTATAGTGTCTCATGTAATCACTTAAAAGGGTCATATGATGCGATTTCAAGTTTTCCTTTCTCTTTGGAGTGTTACAAGCTGATTGTGCATAGATAAGATCCCAAAAACCCAAAGAGATATTCTTTATCAAAGTTAAGACTCTGCCACGCCCCCCTAAAACGGTTTGTTCTAACACGCCCCCACATATCTACCTCACTATGTGGAAATATTTGCATAATGCCACCCAAATGTGCACGCAAAGAAAGAAGGCGTGGTTTCAGTAACCGCAGTTAGTGTTGAAGCAGCCATGTCAGGGAGACGCTGTGTGTTTCTAGGCGAAAGCAAAAGCACTTTATTTGGCCTTCCGAAAGTAGATGCATTTAGGAATCTTTAAGATGACTTACAACAGAACAGCAACGCATTTTATGGACGACCGTTTCGTGAACCTAGGAGAGGAGGTAATTCTGACTTTGCTATGACAATCTGGCGCTTCTGAATCAGCTACTGTTTTGTTATTAGTTTAAGTATTTGCTATTGACTGTGCAAATGCAGAGTTTTGCGCATTGTGTGTGTGTGCGCGAGAGAGAGAGAGCGCAAGAGAGAAAGAGAGAGAGAAAGAGAGAGAGAGAGGGGGTCACATCACAAACACATACCAGCTTCAAACCGTGGCTTGCGTACTGCAAACACATACCAGCTTCATCACGGTGTC